CCTTGGTCACCTTGACATCTGCTTCTGAATCACTTTCCTAAGGGTCCATCCATAGTGGAATGGACTAGACACCCTCAAGAGTCCTAGATGAGCTTTATTTCAAAGTAGTCCTTTTACGGTCAAGCTTTGGGTTTAGTCTTCAGAGGCCTGAAGGAACACGGGCTTTAACACATCTCCCTGTTAAAGCCTCTGATGCCACACTGCTTGTGGCAAAGGGTGTTAGTCTTTGAGAGGACCTCAGATCTGAATGGAGGACTGTCTGTCCCCACACCGCCAGCGTGGTCTCAGAGTGGCTGGCCCAGGGCCTCTCTCCAGGTCACCCTGCTCCATCGAGGCTGTTCTTACACAAACTTCCTTGCCATCTCTCTTGTCTGGGCCCTGGTGGAGGCATCCTGTGAACTTGTCCCCCTAACCTCCCACCCCTGACCCGTGCTAGGCAGCCTACTAACCCACCTCCATGGTTACTATGTCCTCATTGAGGGCTGATGTCTCACCCATGTTTTCTGACCACCTTCTTGTCCCTCCAGGCTGGATGTCCCCAGGAGCCAGAGGCCCAACGGCCCTGTTCTGGTCCCAGGGCTTGGGGAAACCCACTGCCCTGGGCCAGGAGGAAGATGGACAAAGATGCCGCCCGGAGACTCTGGCCTGGCCACAACGGCAGCTCTGCAGATCCAAGGCAAGCTCTGGGGTCCTACTTGGGAACGGGCAGGGCCAGTGTCCAGGGCTGTGGTACCAGGGAGTCCTGGGGGACTTTAGAACAGGGCAGCCCAGGTGACAGCTGTTGAGGAAGAAAAGGTGGTTGCAGAGGTGGTGAGGGATCCCTAACTAACCCAGGCTGCAGTCTTCCCCTGGGTAAGGCACTAAGCTTCTGAGAAGGGATGGAGTACAGCTGGGGCTCCTAGGGGCATGATCCCTGAGGCCAGGACCAGGTCCCTGAGTTGACCAGAGCTCTTACAGGACCGTCCCAGCGGGGATTGTTAACCCTCTGGACTCTAGCGGGGTCTGTCACAGTGACAGACAGCCAGGTTCTGCAAACTCAGATCCTGGTGTTCATCAAGGGAGAGAACTGAAGTGCTGGGACTAGAATCCCAGCCTTTAGCCCTCAGGAATCGCCCTGGCCTGGGAGAAATCGGCGCAGGTGGCCAATCGCAGTGGCAGGTCCTGTCCAATGTTTATCGTATGCTTATGTGTGCTGGCCCCAGACCTCCTCTTCAGAGATGGAGTGTCGAGTGGCTAGACATCACCAGAAAGCTGAGCCCCAGCGTCCGACCTGTTGGCCACCCTAGGATCCCTGTTAGCCCCTCCCCTCGCCGAGGCCCAGTCCCCACTCGGTTGTTTCGCTAAGGGCTCTTGGCCCCGCCTTCTTACATAAGGCCCCACCCACACCCTAGCTCCGCCCCCACGTCCTAGGCCCTATCCTCGTCCCCTGGCTCTGTCCCTTGGCTGTTTCTAGTTCGCGCTCTTGACCCCGCCCCATGTTCTCGGCCCTCCTCCACGCTCCGGTCACGCCCCCGCACTTCCGGGAGGCGCCGGCGGGGGCGCTCGGGCCTGGGCTTCGGCGCTCTAGGCTCGGGCTCCCCGCTCGGGGACGCGATTGCGGCCGCTGCTGCTGAAACCGCGAGAATAGGGCAGGAGTCGG